TTAAAACCAAACAAGACATTTAGTGAGAGACCTCTGTTTCTCTCTTGCAATACCTCTGTAGAATTCCTTTCAATGAGTTATTTTACACACTGTTAGCTTTAGTTTCTGACAGGCTCCATGCATTACATTAAATACAATATTGTACACATATTGGCACAATTAAAGGTAAAATGTCATTGTTTTGGTCAACTGTGTGTCTGAACAAATGCAGAAACTTTTTACCATGCTTACGAGTATTCAAACCAAACTGAGAATTTCACGTATGTATGCCATGGCAAATTCCCTGTGTCCAGAATGGAATGTACACTCCCTCCCTAGAGTATTAGGTGCAGGTTGACAAGAGCTAAGGCTTGAGGATGCCACAATGTATGCCGGGGTACTGTTGGGAGTTAAATATACAGTTGATTCACTTTATGGTATATTCAGTGAAGTGCTTTGCAATCTCTCAATGACGTGATAAGGCGCTATATTAAATGCAAGGATTATTATTATTAAAACCACATAGCTTGCCACCTTGAGCACTATCTGGCAAACTTCCCATTGCTTGTCCAGCTCAGACCACCCTACCAGTTAGGAATTTGGTTTGGAGGAAATAATAGGAGACGAGTGGAATAAATCTCTGTACCTCCAAGTCTTACGTACAAGTCAGGCTATCCGGTCTGCCATCAACAGTGCCTTGGAGAATTGTGGACCTGCCTGGCTCAGGAACCAGACTACTGAGACAATCACAGAGAGTTGACACGATTACAATATTCCATTTCCAAAGACATAATCTTGGAGGCAGCTCAAACCAGAGAAGGTCTCCCCCCAAACAAGACATTTAGAGAGAGACCTCTTCCCCATACCTCAAAGATGAAACTCACAAAACAGTAAACTTTCCTCTCATTTTGCTCACTCCATAGATGCTGCCTGACCTGCTGAGTGTTCCCAGCAACTTCTGTTTTTATTTCAGATATCCAACATGTGCAGTTTTTTTTAAATCATAAAATTATGTCACTTAATACCACTTATCCACGTTATTTAATTGTATTCTAAATTCCATTAAAACTCAATTCCAGTGAGGAGAGAGGTAGCTGTATTTACAATACATTTATTAGAGGAGGATATCAAAGAGCAAATTACATTAAGAATTCCCAATCTGGTACAAGATGTCCGTAATTTGGATTATTCCCCCTCTTGGCAGCCTTGCACTGAGGAATTACTCTGATGGGATCAACTAATGCACATGAGAACAGTTTTGCGTGACATACCAGAAGTTGGTATCCAAACAATTCTGCCTATTGATCAGAAATCACCCAATTCAGGACACGTCAGAACTGCTTCACACTCAACAGCTGACGATTGTTCCCAGCTCAGGCGCCTTGCACCCAACGTCCTAGGCAATTCTCAATACAAATTTCTGCACTTGTTTTGTGCGTATTAGATAATGGAACAGCTTTCTCCTGCACAGAGAGAATAAGAAAGATGAGGTCTCAAGAGAATTAATAGAATTTTTTAAACAAATGCACAAAAATGGAGGGAGGAGGAAGCAATTGTTCATACGGGGTGAAAGCTGCCTAACCCAGCATTCACCTCTTATTCTTTTAAAATATATATCTTTATCTTCAGCCAAGTTAATTTATCTCCAATCATAATAATGGTGACAGATCATTGCTCAGAGAAGATCAAGATTTTCAAATCCCTACCAATATATGCGTGAGCATGCATCAGTAGAGTCCTACCTTTCCAAAAATAGCATGACCTGCTCAATTACTAGCGAGAAGTATTTTGAATGGAATGCAAAACAGCAAGAAAGCTTAAGTGAAAAAGTTGAAATACAGGAAGCATATAATGTATCTTAGAGAAGGTTTGTTGTACTATTGAAAATAGTATTTGATGCCAAATAAACATGTTAGTAGGTTCTCATCTGGCATTTTATTTTTAATAGCACCAATATTAGAGAGAATGATTTAAAATTAAAGACCTCACTGAATAAAGGAATTTAGTAATTGGGACATTAGACATACACAAAAGAGATTTTCCAATACATGCGGGCTAGAGATCATGAGGGATTGATGCCTAGATTAGGAGGATGTTGCACTGAAGATAGAGAGGTAGTGGCAGAAATGGAGGTGAAGGAAAGCTGAGAGCCCAGGTGTACGGTTTGTTGGGAGTCGAACACGGCCCTGAGGTTCCGCACCAGCTCCATGAGGTGGAATGAGCGTCGATGCAGATTAATGCAGTTAGAGCTCATAGAGGACTTTGTATTTGACAGTCAATCAGTCATTATAGCATTGGAGGAAAGAGGGGGATGAGGAGGAGTTAGAATCAAAAGTATGGATCGAGGGGCTGGCAGAGATGGAGGCAGCTGAGCGAATCCATGCAGTATGGGACCGGAGGACATCAATCACCTCCTTGCATTTGGAGTTGGAGCTAATGATGGAGGGATGGGCGGAGGAATTGGTTTCTGATGAAGAGAGGAGCCTAGGGTCGTTTTTGATCCCCTATCCTACCAGAATGATCTTAGAGATAGAAAGACAATTTGGCTGAGACGAGAGTGCAATGTTTGTGTGTTGCAGTCAGATCTGTTGACTGAAATGAGGTCAATCTTTGTCGGAGCTGTCAGAAATGGAAAGGTCTCAGGTAATTACCAGGTCAAGTGAGTGGCTATGTGGAGACATAGAGATGTGAAAGATGAGATTCAGGGAAAGGGAGAAGTCAGCAAAAATGAGACAAGCAGGGGTGAAGTGGAGGTTGGCATTGCCCAAGATGAGGAGCTGTTTGGAACAGATGGTGAGGGAAGATAAGTGAGTTATGTCTGAGAGAAATGTGCCTGGTGATTTAGGGGAGCAGCAGACAATGTGGGCTTTAAGGGAGAAATTGGAGGGGTGAGGAACTCAAAAGAAGTCAAGTACCAAAGGAGTTTGGGGATAGATTGATTTGGGAGCTGGAATAGATGCTAAGCTGTTGCCATGACAGTTGGGGTACGTATGATGAAAGGTGTAGCCTGATGGAGTGTGTTTGGCGAGAGGGAAATTGGTGCCAAAGGCGAGTTAGAATCATAAAACCAAAAATTCAGCCCTGGCTGATAAGAAGTCATAGTCATACATCCTACAATAGTTTTCAGTAAATGAAGTAACTATTACACAACTACCCTCTGTTTTAGAAAATAACCATTTATAAATGCTGGGAAAACAAAATAAAAATAATACAATTACAGGAGACACCACCCTTGCTGTTCCGTTTTACATTTTAACAAAGCAATCATTGAAAGATTTATTCTGTTGAGATCCTGTTTACTTACTTTTGTGTTTTCAGATCTATTGGGCAATCAGCATCCAAACATTGCCACAACTACATGAAAATATCACGCCACACTTACAAAACAATAAAAGTTGCAATAACACTATACCTTGTCTAAAGATTGACAGTGCAGTTGACAACACCTTCCAATGGAATGCATCCAGCTCCAGTGTATTGACTAACCCATATTGTATAGATAAGTCAAGTAATAACCTTGACATTAGGTTCTCCATGGCTCTGTGCCTAACTGTATGTAAATTACATTTAAACTGTACTGAAGCATACACGGTCATTATTAAATTGCTAATAAAGTAAAGATATTGTACTAATAAGCCAAAGAATTCTGTAGGGATTCAATCTACATTTTCCTTTGAATGTGTTTTCAATTCCAAATAGCTCAAAATTGCCAATGTTTACAGCTATGGTAACATGTCCTTGCCAACAATCCCCCAAATGAAATTAGCCACTCACTTCACGGCTGTTTGTGGAGCATTGCCGTTGGCGAGTTACCTGCCGTTTTCACCCACAAAATACACAGTCACTCCACTTTACCATGTATCCGTGAAGCACTTTGCAACGGCCTCCCGATGTCACTATGCCAAATGCAAGATCTATTGTAACTCTGGGATGATTTAATCTTCAGGTATTGCACCAAAACAATGATTTTCAAGGAAATGAGACCAAGATCACAATTATAATTATACCGAACAAAATAGGATTACACACACAAGACGTGGCCTTAGCTCACAATAACTCACAGGCATAAATCCCACAATAACAGGAGGCGGCAAAGGACAATAACACGGTTTAAAAATACCAATTATTCTACAAATCAGACAAGCATTTTGCGGGGTACAGAACTTAATTACAATCTCGTTCATTGCAGCCCAGTGGATGAAGGGACTTTCCACCGCCAAAAACCCATGCAACCCCCACTTTATTGTTTGGGACGCCACAGCCCAGGAGGAAACCAAAGCCGAAGGTGATCCAGAATCAAGTGAAGAGGCGAAAGAAAATACGCATTTGGCAGGAAGCCAGGAAAGCAGTCAAAAAAATAATATATATATATATATATATATCAGACAGACATACCAGATAATCCATCTACTCCAGGGAGAGAGGGAGGGAGGGAGTGTGGGGGGGGGGGGGGGGGGGGAGTGGGGGGAGAAGGGAGAGAGGCCTCTCCAGCTTCAGAGTCCACTGTAGTTCTTGTCTTCCTTGAGTGAGTGATGTGTGTGTGAGTGACTGAGTGGTGTGAGTGTGTGAGTGGTGTGTGTGTGAGTGACTGAGTGAGTGAGTGGTGTGTGTGTGAGTGACTGAGTGAGTGACTGAGTGGTGAGTGTGTGAGTGAGTGAGTGGTGTGTGAGTGAGTGACTGAGTGGTGAGTGTGTGAGTGAGTGAGTGGTGTGTGTGTGTGAGTGAGTGGTGTGTGTGTGAGTGACTGAGTGGTGTGAGTGTGAGTGAATGGTGTGTGTGTGTGAGTGAGTGAGTGAGTGAGTGAGTGAGTGGTGTGTGTGTGAGTGAGTGACTGAGTGGTGTGAGTGTGTGAGTGAGTGGTGTGAGTGTGTGAGTGAGTGACTGAGTGGTGTGTGTGAGTGACTGAGTGAGTGAGTGGTGTGTGAGTGAGTGAGTGGTGTGTGTGAGTGAGTGAGTGAGTGGTGTGTGTGTGAGTGAGTGAGTGAGTGGTGTGTGTGTCAGGTACCAGTGCAGACCCTCACCCGCGGCTCACACATCCCCGGCGGCACAGCTCAACACACAGTGCATCCAGTCCGGGGGGGAGGAAGGGTTTCGCCTCCAGTGCAGTGCAGTGCTGTACTGTATTGTACTGTCCTGTGAGGCCGCCCCTGGATTTGCAGCTCAGACACTTCTATTCCCCCAGTGGGCGATTTGATAAGCGAGAAAACACACACAAAACCCTCCCCCTCTCTCTCTCTCACTCACTCACTCACTCACACGTCGGGTCATCTGATCGCAGACGTTTGAGCGGGTTTGAATGACCCCGGAAGCGGGGGGTGGGGTGGGGTGGAGGCCTCAGGCCTTCAGGGGCTGAGGGGGCGGCACAGCCTCGGCTCCACACACTGGGGGCCCCGCAGCGCCTCGGGACGTCCTCCCTCCCTCCCGACGTGAAAGGGGCTCTGTTGCAAATGTGATCTTGTGTTGCACTGCTTGGCAGGGCCGGGAGGGCAGGGCCGGGAGGGCAAGGCAGGGAGGGCAGGGCAAGGGAGGGCAGGGCAAGGCAGGGAGGGCAGGGCAAGGGAGGGCAGGGCAGGGCAAGGCAGGGAGGACAGGGAGGGCAAGGAGGGGAGGGCAGGCAGGGAGGGCAAGGCAGGGAGGGAGGGCAAGGTAGGGAGGGCAGGCAGGGAGGGCAGGGAGGGGAGGGCAGGCAGGGCAAGGCAGGGAGGGGAGGGCAGGGAGGGAGGGAGGGCAAGGCAGGGAGGGCAAGGCAGGGAGGGGAGGGAGGGAGGGCAAGGCAGGGCAGGGCAAGGCAGGGAGGGAGGGCAGGGAGGGAGGGCAAGGCAGGGAGGGAGGGAGGGCAGGAGGGGAGGGAGGGCAGGGCAGGGAGGGCGGGCAAGGCAGGGAGGGCAAGGTGGGCAGGGGAGGAGGGTGGGGCAGGGAGGGCAGGACAGGGAAGCAGGGCAAGGCAGGGAGGGCAGGGGAGGCAAGGAGGGGAGGGCAGGGCAGGGAGGGCAAGGCAGGGAGGGGAGGGCAAGGTAGGGAGGGCAGGGCAGGGAGGGCAGCAGGGCAAGGCAGGGAGGGGAGGGCAGGGAGGGGAGGGAGGGCAAGGCAGGGAGGGCAGGGAGGGCAAGGCAGGGAGGGAGGGAGGGCAAGGCAGGGCAGGGCAAGGCAGGGAGGGAGGGCAGGGGAGGGAGGGCAAGGCAGGGAGGGAGGGAGGGCAGGAGGGAGGAGGGCAGGGCAGGGAGGCGGGCAAGGCAGGGAGGGCAAGGTGGGCAGGGAGGGAGGGTGGGGCAGGGAGGGCAGGACAGGGAAGCAGGGCAAGGCAGGGAGGGCAGGCAAGGTGGGCAGGGCAGAGCAGGCAAAGCAGGGCAGGGCTCTGGCTCTCTGGGATTCTGTTCTCCCCTCTGACTTGTTCCCCTCTCTTTCAAGTTCAAGATACACCTCAAACCACCTCTTTGACCGCTTTCGGTGATCAGTCAAATCTCCGCGCACCCCCGCCCCCCCCTCTCCGCTGCCCCCGCCCCCCCTCCGCTGCCCCCCCCCCTCTCCGCTGCCCCCGCCCCTCCGCTGCCCCCCCCCCCCTCTCCGCTGAACCACCCCCACCCTCAGCTCCAGTGCCCAACCTGAATTGTCGAGCGCTTTTGGACATCCTCCCGCCGTGAAAGGCACCGCTGCGTCGGTGTACATTGGGTGGTATTGATTCGGCTCTCAGCCCTTTGCTGGATTGGAATACAGTATTTTTCTTCTCCATTGCTTTTATTTTAAAAAATATATGGTAGAAATTCCGGTACACAAACATTGAAGAAGTTAATATCAGTTAAGGTGTGGGATGGGGGGGTAGTGGGGGCGGGCGGTTATGGCGGTTGAATTGCATTTAGGAATTCTGGAGGAGACGCACAGGTTTTCTAATACCGTCCAGTAAGTGGAAAGCTGTGTGGCTAACCATAGCCGAGCATTGCAAAGGGATCATTCGACAGTTATTACGGAGCTGAACAAGACCATAACACATAACGCCCATGCAAGAGAGAGGAGTTTCTCAAGGTTGGAGCACAGAGCTCTTGGGTATGTTCTGTTCATTCCAGAATTCATGCTCTTCAGCTACGCTTCCTTAATCTACGACTTGTGTCACCAAACTCCTACCATCCCGGTCAATCTCCCACACATAAGCTCTGAGCAAAGAGAAACTCCAAAAACATGATACACACATGGTGGAGTCAATCTTCTATCTTCTATCTATACTAATAAAATGACAATATCTGTCTGTCTGTCTGCGCTTGTAGAAGGATCTCAATAATCGATTGACGTAGAGACATGATTTATACCTCATCGGAAAAGTCTTGCAACTGGGAGTGACGTGGACATAGTTCTTGTATCTCCTATCGTTAATGAGTTATGACCTAAAATGTATATCAGTTTTGCGTTTTTCACAGCAGTTACACATGGTGGCTGCTGAGTCAAAGTGGCGCTGTGGCAACATGCGTCACAGAGCACATATGTATGTACACACGCACTGCAGTTACACCTGGTAGTCGGGCCAGCTGACTGGCACTGTGGCATCCTGCGTTACGGAGCACATACATAGCCAAGTGGCGATGGAAACAAAATAAAGAACACAGGCAAAGGTAAGCCTTCACAACAACAAAATGACATTTTTAAAGCGCCTTTCACATGGATGTCCCAGTGATTATAAATTATACATTTATATTTATCATTACAAAGATGCCTAAGCGAAAATCAAACCATTCAGGGATAAGTAAAAATGCTAGACAAAAGAGAGATGGCCATCAAATGAAACTGAACAAAGAACAGCGTGGCTGCACTTCAATGCTGAAAGGACTGCAGCAGCGCACCAAAATGAGTTGCCCACTCTAAGAATAGCACAGCCAAAATGAGTCCTACCATAGGAGTCCTCCCAGAAGAGTATAGATAAAGATGAACTGTCTGTCTGTCTGTGTCAATCTATATTCCATATTGGATCCTTTGGTTACAAGAGTAGCTGCAACGGAAGCTAGGATTCAATAAAACTTTAAGAAGAGCCACAGGAGAGTAGCTCCTAACAAAATGATCTGGGCATTCGCATTCATGAAAATTACAGAAAGTGAAAACATCAGCAAATCGATAGAACTTGCAGTCATAAATATCATTTAATTTATGTATGAAAGTGTCTTAAGAAGAGAATGAAAATTGAAATAAAAAGGTTGTCAGATTAAAATAGTAGTATGTTTAAGGTATCCTCACATTTCTTCCCCACTACAACCATTCCAAGTAAAATGTTATACACTCACACGATGACCACAATAAATGACCACAAACATTTTAACAATGGTAGACTTACGGCAGTTGGTGTGACCATAATTCTAATACAACACTGAAGTGCAGCTACTCTTTGAAGATTGAGGCCTGTGTTCTCTTACAAATGCTGATGAAAGATATTTTGTGCACAGCTTTCCTCCAGACCTCCATAAAGCAATGTCAAAGTCTCTCTCAAGTCAGAAGTCGTTGAACTGTAACTCAAATAAAGAAATAGATGAGAGCCATGGGATGGGGAGGGGATCACTTGAAATAATTTATATTTAGCATTCCCATTTTCCAGCTTTTACAATTTTTTGACAGATAATATTGACTTTTATATTTTTTTAAAAATATATTTTTAGCGGCCTTTTTAACTTAAAAAATGCCTACATCCAGATCTCAAGGGAGGAGATGGAAAGAGATGACTGCAGATGAAGAGGTGNTTTTTTTGACAAGATTTAATGAAATACATAGAGGGGGCCAGGAATGGAGTTCCAAAAGGTGAGGATATAATGAGCAAAGGGCACACTGTGACTCCCCTAGCAAAGTGACTAGCGCACTCGCCTCAAATTGGACCTGGGTTCCATTCCCAGCAGGGCGAAACCTTAGGCAAGTTTCCTTACTGCACATGCGTCTGTTTACTTAGCAGTAAGTAGGAACCCTGCTGTTAGTCAATTAGCGGATTGCTTTCCGGGGGTCATAATCTTCAAAAAAAATTGTTACTCAATCCACGATTGATTGTGGGATACTGCTGTGCGCAATTGGCTGCTGTGTTTCACCCACAAACATATACATTCAATTCACTTTGCAGTATATTCTGTGAAGCGCTTTGAGCATCTTGATGACATGATATGACACTATGTCAAATGGAAGTATTGTTATTAAGTTTGCTGAAAGGAGGGGGCAAGCAGAGGAGTGAGGTAGGAAAAGATCACAAAGATAGGGATCTACGGCTAAGGATGATGGACATGTGGAGTTAAGTGCAGGTGAGGATGCGGCTGGGGGAGTTTTGAATGAGCTGGAGTTTATGGATGGCAAAACCACAGAGACCAAGGAATGCATTAGAGAAGTTAAGTTGGGAGGTAACAAAGGCATGGATGAGGATTTTGGTGGTGTAAAAAGAAATATGGAATAACCACCTATATTTTTCTGTGTTTGGCTGTTCCTCAGAGTTGGTCTGGGACATATCCAAATGATGATCCTCTTCTTTTTCGTAAGTAAGTCGATGTATATCAAGCACTTTTATATCAAGTAACATGTGTGGTTATTGCACATGTTATTGCAAGAGTTATCTGAGTAAAGTAAGTACTTCTTAAAAAAATTTATAACAATTTTATTTTATATCATGTAACATGTGTGGTTGTAGGTGTGGTTTATGTTTGACTTTAAGTAGAAGAATGACTCTGGCCTCTTGCTCGTCCCTCAGCAGGTTTCCTTCCTCCACACGCCTAGCAGTAAGTCGGAACCCATTTATTAGTCGATTGGCGGATCGCTTTTCTGGGAGTAGTAATCCCTTCAAAAAAAAACTTGGTCACTCAATCCATGACTGTCTACTGTGCGTAATTGGCTGCTGCGTTTTTCCCTCAAAATATACAGTCAATCCACTTTACAGTATTTCCTGTGTATCTCTTTGAATCTTCTCAACAGAGTGATAAGGCACCATATCAAATGCAGGGATTATTATTGGTATTGTCTACATCGGCAGAGGTAAAGATAATTGAATAAAATTTGACAAGTTTCATCCTATTTTGGAAGCTTCACTTTGCATTCACTCTAATTAGTACTCTTTTGCAGAAGGCTTCAGCAACAGATTAATTTAAACAGATTACTCCACACACCTCTGTTTACCTAGCAGTGAGTAGAAAGCCAGTTGTTAGTCGATTGGCGGATCACTTTTCGGAGAATAATAATTCCTTCAAAATTATTAAGAATAAATTGGTCACTCAAATCCACAACTGT